GAGCGGTGGGGGGGAGAGAGGGAAGGAAGGAAGGAGCAGGAGTGGAGGGGAGAGGGGGGCTGTGTGACTGCATTGCGTCGTCCCCATCAATAGGTGGACCTCCTCCCTGCCCCATAAAGCCACCGGAGTCGAAGCTTGCAGCCTCTGCTGTCTGAGATCACAGCTGCCGGTAAGCGCGCTTAGAGCGGGGCTGCGGAGGATGGCTAGGGCTGCCCCCCCAATGCGGCCCAAACCAAATTTATGTGCGGCCCATACCAAATTTTCATCTTCTAATGTGGCCCAGGGAAGGTGAAAGGTTGGACACCCCTGCTTTAAATGATGGCAGGGGTGTACTGACTCCTACTAAACATGAGCTTGAATGTGATTATTTACTGCTGAATGCAGCTACATCCCAAGTTATAAGAGGGTGTGCATGCAGATGCAACCATATTATTTCAGTTTTTTATTTTTACTTCCCTCCGCCTAAAACATTTCAGTTTGTTGTTCAACTGAGTTGTACAGTTCATATACCTCATTAACGGTGGGAAAAGTTCTGAAATGATTTATCTTTGTCTCATTTTTTAACATCACAGACACTTGACATTTTAACAGGGGTGTGTAAACTTTTATATCCACTGTACATTAATCTTTCCTTGCACAAAAGGTGCTCCAGCTCTTGAATATTTTATTTGCCCTTTTCTGTATATCTTTTAAAGTGGGGAAACCAGAACTGAACTTCTGTTTTGGCCTGTTATGCACATTCACTGTTCTTACTGTGTTTTGCTCTTGGCTGTTTCAGGTTGCAGATAGAAGAATCTTCTAAACCTGTAAGCTGGACAATGCAGCTAGATAAAGCTGTGACCACGAACTACAAACCAGTGGCTAACCATCAGTATAATGTGAGTTTCTTTTAATACTTTCTGTTACTATATTCTTCTACTCCTGCTAGAACCCTGTTGTGAAGTATCTGGCTTGTTAGTCAGACTGAACATTATAAAGCTGAGCGTCCAACTCCATTGTAATATATGTGTAAAACGAGTTGTTAAGACAGTAAGTTAAATAATCTGGGTCCTGATGCCAAGGTGGAACCATTTTGAAACTGGTTGTGGCATTTGTTGACGGGTGGCTCTTAAAAATGTATTAATCAAAACTTTGTGATCCTATTTAATCTCCTGGTTCATCTCAGAGATAATTTGTTTTCATTAAATCCATTTTTCAGTTAACAAAAACCCACTGACAGCAATCTCAAAAGTACCTAACTGCTGTGTTAAAAATATTTTTCATTTCATTTCTATACTGCCCCATTAGTGTACAGCACTATTCTGGGCAGTGTACATATAAAAACAACAAAGTATCACAAAACAATAACAAATATAAAAGATATAAAATCCAAGTTGAGCATTTTTGTATAATAAAAATATGCTAAGTAGCCACACAGCTTTGGCATTATGGTCCCTGGGCTGTTGGCAAATCTAAAAGATGGCTCTTGGCCCTGCTAGGATTACCTGCCTGATATCAGTAATGACAGAGGTGCGGCGTTACCAGACTACACCAGGGGGCGCTATGATGAAATGAACTGCTCAGAGATGAAACCAAACAGACACTGTTGTAGTGTTGATAGAATTATTTACATTAAAGTTCATATATACAGGTATAAATACAACTTCTCTTGGTCTTTACACAGTCCTGGTCTTTCACAGTAGTTCTTCAGTTTGCAATAGTAAATTACAGGTTCAGTATCCAAAGATTGTTACCAATATAAATAGTCCAGCATCCACAAAGTCTTCTCCTCTCACCACGGAGATAGTCTTCCTCCAGGATCTTCCTCTTGCAATGTAGCAAGTCTTCATCCAGCGATGCAGCATAAATTTCTTTCACAATCAAATAAACAGCTCTCAACTACACAACCACCAACTACCCAACAACCCAACAACTTGTGTCTGCAAGCTTGGCTAGCTTTATTCTTGGTTGCTCCAATTAATTTGGTTGTCCCACAGCTGTCTTAATTAACCCAGCTGTATTATTTTGGTACATGTTGCTCACTAAATTCTGATCCTGTTATAACTTATCCACTGAATTGCAATGAACAATTGCTAAGGTTGATTTGAGACCTGTCAAATAATGTCTCAGAGTTGCTGTAGCTTGTTGGCTGAGATGAACTGTTGAATAAGGAAGTCTCCAGTTTATATCTTCCTTCCGCCAGGGGCTCATTGGGTGATTATATACAAACCATGAATGCTGGGGGAAACGTGGCTCCTCATCTTCAGTATGAGGATTGCTTTGTAAGATTTTTTTTGTATTGTTTCACATACAATATTTAAATGTATTGTATGTGAAACACTTAACATTCCTTAAAGTCCTGTTGGGAATACTATAGATATGTTGTGATCTCTGGCCTGTGAGACATTATAGCTAGCACTTTAAGTACAAGTCAGAAGGGTAACAGAACTAAGGTTGCTCTGCTACCAGGGTGGTTTAAAATCAATGACTTTTTAAAATCAAATTGATTTAAAATATGATTTATATTTCAAAAAAATAATTTTTATTTAAATAGTCCAAAAACTCTGATTTTTTAAATTTAAATCATATTTAAATTAATCCACCGTGTCTGCTACGGTGTAATGTGTCCCCAGTTATCTATCTTGTTCAAACAGTGCTTCCAATACTTGTGTCCGTAGATGGTGTTGGACATCTTCTTCTAGAAAGCTCAGCCATCACAGCTTGCGGACAGCTGCCTTGGGTCCTTTTGGGTAGAAAGGCAGAAAAGAAATATTATTTGTAAACAAACAAGCAAACAAACTGAGGAGCTTTATTTCAACAACATCTCTAGACCCACATTTGGGAACCACAGCATTAAAGCATGGCTGAAGCTTTCTGTGGGAGTTTCCAGACCATAATCAGAGTGCCCATACAATGCAGTGCTTTTTGCAGCAATCTTGCTTGATATACAAGTCGAAAGGAAGGTTGCTATTCAGCAGCTACCTGGCATGGCAGAGTTTGCAGAAACATCCAGTCTGGCAACTGCGTCTAATTTAAGAGCACTCAAATGCTGTGAAGAAGGCTGAATGCAATAATTGATTAGAAAAATTGATTTGGCCTGTCAGGTCTGTAGGCCTGCTACTCTTTATTACTTCAGTCTTCTTTGGACTCATTTCTACTTGCCTCTTTCTCATTACCCCACTTCCCATTGCGAGTTAACAGGGCCAGAGAAAACATGCAGACAGTTCTGTATCTTGTTTTAGCTTAAGAAGTGTATCACCTTGGTATAGAATTTGGATCACTTGTTGTTTATTGGCTGCCTCTGTACCTTGCAGTATTGATACCTTGTTTGAATTAATAGATTGAGTATGAAAAGAAGAAAAAAGAAGATGGAAAACGGGCTCGGGCTGAAAAGCAACAAGTGTTAGACATGCTTTTTTCAGCTTTTGAAAAACACTAGTATTACAACATTAAAGACTTAGTGGACATAACTAAGCAACCAGTGGTAAGTACCTATTCCAAAATCCTTCTTTAAAATAATGTATTTTCTCACTTACTGTTATGGATTGTTAGAAAGAGATTTCTCAGTGTTTAGATTCAGTTTCCTCAAAACATGTATTTTAAAAGAGCTTCTGTGAAGATAAATTGTAACAGGCACATAGAATTTAAATGTGCTTTGATAGGCATTATGATCCTATCTTCCGGCAATCTTAATCCCAAACTGCATTTAAGATTGCCGGAGAAATATCAACAACCTCAGATATGCAGATGATACCACTCTGATGGCAGAAAGTGAGGAGGAATTAAAGAACCTGTTAATGAGGGTGAAAGAGGAGAGCGCAAAAAACAGTCTGAAGCTCAACATCAAAAAAACTAAGATCATGGCCACTGGTCCCAGCACTTCCTGGCAAATAGAAGGGAAAGATATGAAGGCAGTGACAGATTTTACCTTCTTGGGCTCCATGATCACTGCAGATGGTGACAGCAGCCACGAAATTAAAAGAGGCCTGTTTCTTGGGAGGAAAGCGATGACATACCTAGACAGCATCTTAAAAAGTAGAGACATCACCTTGCCGATAAAGGTCCGTATAGTCAAAGCTGTGGTTTTTCCAGCAGCAATGTATGGCAGTGAGAGGTGGGCCATAAAGAAGGCTGACCGCCTTTTGAACTGTGGTTCTGGAGGAGACTTTTGAGAGTTCTCTGGACTGCAAAAAGAATAAACCTATCCATTCTGAAGGAATTCAACCCTGAGTGCTCACTGGAAGGACAGATCCTGAAGCTGAGGCTCCAATCCTTTGGCCATCTCATGAGAAGACTCCCTGGAAAAGACCCTGATCTTGGG